CATTGCAGCGCCTTTTTTTGTTTGATTTTTCAATTTCTTTTTTGCAAAAACAAAAGAAAGAAAAATAAAAATTAAAAGACTAAGGTGGAAATCAATTTCTAGGATTACTAATTTTTAAAAATAGATTGATTAAAGCAATGTGTTACTTAAGTAACATCTTTTGCCTAAATTAATTTATTTGAAATATTAGGAAAGTCGTGTTTACATAATTTATGCGGATATTCACCGGTTGAAACAAAGGTCAATATTTTGCCGAAATATTTGCACATTTGTGGTAATTATGTGACAATTGTAAAGTCTTCCGTTATGTGAACATTGAGTTGGTTTGAAGATAAACTTGATATTTGACCTTATTTATTGCCAATATTTAATTACTACACCAAGAAAACCACTTCCAAGTTTATGTTTTTGTCCAAAGACTAAATATTAATGTTGTGCTTGATCTCTTTTGATGGGGTGCACCATTATTTGAAATTATTGATTATATAATATGTATTTCATGTGAACATATTATTTAGGTTTAAGTTTTATATTCAATAATCCATCAACTTCTGCTATGATCATGAAGCGTGGAATTCCAGAAACATTTAGGGGTGCTGTAAAAAAATGTTAGTACACATCTAGAAAACTTAGTTTCACTAAAGTATAAGGCTGAAGAAATCATAGGGGACTGCATATTGGAGATGTCTCATCTTGCCTCAAAACTAAAGGCATTAAAGCTTGAGCCGTTTGATGACTTGCTTGTGTATTTAGTTTTGATTTCTATTCTTGCACAATTCAATCAATTTAAGGTCAATTACAAATGTCAAAAGGAAAAAGTGGACTCTTAATAAGGTCATTCCATATTGTATGCAAAAAGAATACAGGCTAAAGCAAGATAGAACTTGAAGTGCTCATTTGACAAGTACCTTTAAGAACAGTTTAAAGAATACGGTAGTTGCATCCAATTCAATTCAAAAGAAACAGGAAAAGTCTGAAAATAATAAATTATCTGGTTGTTACTTTGTTAAGAAAAATTTGGGAGACATAAACAGAGACTGTACTAAATATCACGCTTGATGTGTAAAGTAATGTACGCTTCTCATACTTTGGCCTGTTCTGAGGTTAATTTAATTCTAATATCTAGACACACTTAATGAATGAATTTTGGTGTCACTATTCGAATATGCGTATCTATGAGGGGTTACTTGAATAGCCAATAGCCAATTGATGCTGAAGGATTTATATGTATAGATGATGGCGAATCAGTTAAATTTGAGGCTGTATGGACTTTTAGGTTATTATTAAAGACTATTATTGTTTGAATATGAAAGAGATATTTGCGATACTATCTTTTAAGGCGTAATTTGGTTTCTATTTATATATTGGACAAACTCGGTTACTCTTATTCATTTGAAAATAGTCAGTTTTATCTTTTTCTCAATTCAAAGGTTGCAGGTATCAATTTTTTATCCAATTATGATGACATATAATTGTTAATAAAACTTGCATGTGAATTCACGTGGTATTAAACAAAAATTAACGAATGAGAATTTCGCTTCATTATATGGCACAAGCGATCAGGTTACATCTCTAAAAAGAGAAAGGAATAGCTTGTGTAAGAAGGAATTCTTGATTTCCTAATTTTACGGAGTTTAATGCTTGTGTTAGTTACATTAGGGGAAAACAATCAAACATGGAAATTAGGTAAAATAAGAATTTGGATCAAATCATATATAGCAGTATACTAGGCCTTCTAATTGGACTTCGGATATCTTAGAACTAATACATACAAATATGGGTGGTCTATTCCCCTCGACTTCTTGGAATGATTAAAAATCATTTATTATGTTCATGAATGATTTTTCTCGTCATGGCTACCTGTATCTCATTCATAAGAAATCACAATCATAAAACATATCAGATCTGACAATGGTGGTGAATACTATGGCAGTTATGACGTATTAGGAGAACAATGTCCAAGGTCTTGTGCTAAATTTCTAGATGAATGTGGAATCGTCTCACAATATGCCATAATCTCTCTAGTTTCAAATACTAAACACTACGGTTTAAATTCTCAAAAAAGATCGAAGTAAAGCAAAGTATCAAAACCCTCTATGAGCTTTAGACAAGCAAGAAGCCTATTTTGAAACACTTGCACATTGAGAGTTTTCAGTTAAGGCAAGGCCTTATAGGCTATCAAAAAATAAATTGGACTCTAGAATTCTTAGTTACTAGTTTATTAAATACTTTGAAAGGAGGTTACAAATTTTTAGATCCCACTATCAGGTCAACTTTCGAAGCGAGAAGTCTCAAATTCTTTGAAAATTTAGAGTTTCTAAGGGGAGATAAAGTTAAAGAGTTATAGATTTTATCTTGGAGGAAGAGAATATGTATATATTTCTTCTGTTACAATTGATAATGATTAGGATCAAGGACAAATTCTCGCTCCAGATCTTATTTAAGAAGCAATTTTGGATCAAAACAATATTACAAAAATCTTATACACAATCAAAAGATTTTTCAGAAGAACAAACTCGACAACTCAAGAAACAAATGCCATTAAGGAGATCCGTTAAAGAAAAGAGAAAAGACCATTCAGATAATTCTATAATCTTTCTCCATAAAAATAAGGATGATATTGTATTGGTTGTAGAAGATTTGATCAATCAACTTTCATCTTGTAATGCAAATGAATAATTCTCAATAGTGGATTGATGCCATGAATAAAAAGATAAAGTTCATGAGTAACAATGACGTTTGGGAGCTCATCACATTGCCTGAAGGTGAAAAACCTATTGGTTGCAAATGGATATTTAAAATCAAGAGGGATCAAAAGGTGATGTGGGAAGATATAAGGCTCGTCTTGTTGTAAATAGCTTTACTCAAAAGGAATGCATTGACTTTAAAGAGAATTTCTCTCCAATTTCTACGAAAGACTCTTTTAGAATTATCATGACACTTTTAACACATTTTGAGCTACGTCAAATGGTTTACAAATTAAAGAAATCTATTTATGAGTTTAAGTAGGCTTTCTATAATAGTATCACAAATTTCATCAAATAATTATCTCATTTAGTTTTGAGATGAATGT